GGAGTAAGTATAGACAATGAGCCAGTGATACACAAACAGCCCTCCCGGTTATTTGCAGCACTAAATGTGTTGAGGTTGTCTAATGGTCTGCACTCTGTTATATTTATACATTTATTCTGCACAACTAGCCCTAATCTTTTTGCGAGCAAATTGTTGTCCTATCTTGGAGATTCTCCAGCTTGGTATTATAATGAGTTAATATTGGATGTTAGTGAAGCAGCTCCAACTGCTTTGATAGTGCCAGTGAAAGTAATTGGTGTTGAGCTTGGAAATGAACGACTTTGAGAAAGGTTTTTATGAAAGTTTGAGAAGGAGAAAAAATGGTTTCCAACATCAAACTTTGCTGTTCCTTGTCTTCTGATCGTGGTTCCTGTGCAGGTGTTTGAAACGCAAAGGTACTAGCTTCACTGCTTTTCGTCGTTCCCAGAAGCATCCCTCAGGTATGCTCTGGAGAAAACACATCTGGTCTATTTTTGATGGAAGCCACGACCCACCTACATCAAGCAGCACAGTGCGGATCGCATAGAGAATCCAGTCAATTGAAAAAATATAATACCCCCTGAAGACTCTGGATCGAATCTCGCTACATCAAAAAAGGACTAAATAACAACAATAAACACAACTGACACACAACACACAAAAAAGAAAGCATTGAACTCACCCATGGTAGACACACTAATATCAAGGAAAGAGGACCAAATACACAAGTAGACATTGTCGGCAGGCAAGACACTCTGAAGACGCTCGGCTTCAGACCATCTCAGTGTTATTTGAAGAGGATCACTGAGCCAAACTGTGACGTGATGTCAAAAAACCATGCCTGGTGGAAATTTGGCATTAGTTGATCTATGTCTCACTAGGTCTTGAGATGCAGTCTCATGACATCCATTTTAAAAAAAGCTGCTGTTGAACTGGCGCCTATTACCCTTTACTGATAATCTGGAACTTTATATCATAGTATCATATCATATTGGAGTTGTTTTAAAGGGCCAGTGTGTAGGATTTAGTGGCATCTAGTGGTGAAGTTGCAACTAACTGAATACCGCCCATCTTTCAAGTGTGTAGGAGAACCGCTCAATTATTTTGAAAGATATTGCGATTGTGATTGATGATTGATGATTATACATACATTTAATTTTCATAAAAAAATCATGATGATGTGACATTTGTTTGGGTCTGTACCAAACAAACATGTTTTCTAACATCTGGAGTACAAGATTTGTAATCCAGGGCATCCCCTGCAGCACTACAGTACTTTAAGAAACCAGTTTGAGATGATTTGAGCTTTGTGACATGGCGCGTTATCCTGCTGGAAGTAGCCATCAGAAGATGGGTACACTGTGGTCATAAAGGGATGGACATGGTCAGCAACAATACTCAGGTAGACTGTGGCATTTAAACAATGCTTAATTGATACTAAGGGCCTCAAAGTGTGCCAAGAAAATATCCCCCATACCATTACACCATCACCACCAGCCTGAACCATTGATACAAGGTAGGATGGATCCGTGCTTGCATGTTGTTTACACCACATTCTGACCCTACCATCTGAATGTCGCAGCAGAAATCGAGATTCATCAGACCAGGCAACGTTATTCCGATCTTCTATTGTCCAATTTTGGTGACCCTGTTCGCACTGTAGCCTCAGTTTCCTGTTCTTAGCTGACAGGAGTGGCACCCGGTGTAGTCTTCTGCTGCTTTAGCCCATCAGCTTCAAGGTTCGACGTGTTGTACAGTCAGAGATGGTCTTCTGCATACCTTGGTTGTAACAAGTAGTTATTTGAGTTACTGTTGCCTTTCTATCATCTCGAACCAGTCTAGCCATTCTCCTCTGACCTCTGGCATCAACAAGGCATTTTTGCCCAGAGAACTGCCGCTCACTGGATATTTTCTCTTTTTCAGACCATTCTCTGTAAACCCTAGAGATGGTTGTGTGTGAAAATCCCAGTTGATCAGCAGTTTCTGAAATACTCAGACCAGCCCGTCCTGCACCGACAACCATGCCACGTTCAAAGTCACTTAAATTACCTTTCTTCCCCATTCTCATGCTTGGTTTGAACGTCAGCAGGCCATTGACCATGTCTACATACCTAAATACATTGAGTTGCTGTCATGTGATTGGCTGATTAGCTACTTGCGTTAACGAGTAGTTGAACAAGTGTATCTAACAAAGTGGCCAATGAGTGTTTATTGGACTATGAGATTTTATAGACCAACAATCCAAACAATGGTCTGTCAGTATAATATATCAGTTTGATGCTGCCACCTACATTTAGTCCCTGTCACCTTACAGCTGAATAAATATATTTATTTCAATTCAGGCTCTTTCATCGCTGCTGCTGTGTATTTTTTTAAACATATAAACAAATAGTCTGCATACACAAATTCATATTTCTAGCTCCACTGGATTAAGTGGCCTTTTATTTACCTGTTGCCATGGTGAATCGGGGTAACAGAATTTCACTGATTACTACGCAGAGTGAACATACTCAGTGTTGATTAAACCAATTCTGATCAGCTTCACAGTCAGAGTCAGAGTTTGTTACCCCTGGAAACAATTTTCCAGGTTTCACTTTTTTCTTTTCTTTTTTAAGTATATTTTTGGGGCTTTTATTGCCTTTATTATAGTGACAGGGGGGGCAGAGAGAGGGGATGACACGCAGCAAAGGGCTGCAGGTCAGATTCAAACCCTGGGCCGCTGCAGCAAGGACTCAGCCAGCTCTACCCATTGAGCTATCTGGGCACCCAGGTTTCTCTTTTTAAGCACTTTTGTGCGGTTCCTGCCACAGAATACGTCTAGGAAAATGTGTAAGTAAAAAAACAGTTTAACTTTTCAACTCAATTTAGCCCAGAACAACTTTTTTGTCTGCAAATATACCTTACTGCTCTCCATGTAATGTTACATCTAAAAATGCCCTTGAACTTTCAGCGGCCACTAAAAAGAATACCACTCAACAATTTGTTTAAATGCTTATTGAATGATGTATGTAATCTGATTACAATGCAATAAATTATGGATTGCAAGTTTGCTGATTTTGGAGCTTCTCAGCATGTTCACATCCATTATGTCGAGGTTAAACATGCTGTTGAAATATTTTTTCCACCCATTTTTTTATGTGAATTTTATTCAAGAGTTTGAGCTCTTGATGGAGGCTCTTTATGCATATTGATTTTCAATAGTGCAAGACGTGCAAGTTTTGTTATAGTCAGTTCAAGCTGTGCTCTGATTGGTGGATTTTGAGCTTCTGGTGAGTGCTCTGTCTACTGCTGCTTTAAGTATCTTTTTGTCTGTGTCAGTGTATACATAAAGCACACTGAATATACTCGTTTATAATAGTATATAATGCAGATCTAGGAACAAGTTTGAATGGAACAGTGAGAAGACAGAAAATGCTGCATCATTAAAGAGGCAATCTCATAATTCATTTTTGGGGTTTTTGGTTTTGTTATATTTTATTCCAGCAGAATAAACTCTCGCTGTAGCCATATTTGTATTTTCCCAACCTCTCACGTCCCGCTGACTGCATTCTGTCATAAATGTGAGTGAAAAGCTCTGCAAAGAGTTTACAGCATCAAACCTATTCTGAACAACTCCCCTTTAAATTCAAATCTCAATAAAACTTTGTTTGTTAAAATCACTATCAATGCCCAGACACACCCCGCAGCGACCCCTTTTTAACATGTGGTTAACATTGTTAAACCGTTACAGTCTGATTAGGTTTAGGCAACAAAACTACTTGGTTAGGTTTAGGGAAACATGATTTGGGTTAAAAAAAAAATAACAAAACAAGGTTTTGGTCACATGCGTAACGCTGTGAAACATACAACTTTAGATAACTTTTGGTTTCACACAGGACACCAATGCCGGACTCCTGTCCTGTGTTTGTAACACGGACAATCTCGCTCGGGTCGACTGGCCAACACTGGAGCTGTGTTTCTAGCCTGGCTAGTAACATCAATAAATATTGGCATTTACTGTGCACGTTCATGCTCCCCAGAGGATGAACCCTTTCCATTTTAAACATGCAACTGTAGCACGGGTATCACACCACTTACTGCGCCACTGGACCAGTTCTAGGTTCTAAGGAGTGGGGAGAAAAAATAATTACACCAGAGACCGTTGCTTTAAATACAAAAGGCCGGCAATTTACTGAATGCAAAACACACATATAAAATACAGTACACAAAACAAAAATACCCTGCAGGTTCTTAATAATGAGGTAAGTATAGTAAATGAAAAGGTATTTCACTCTCTTTTTGTTCTTAGTTCACCTAAGTTATTTTAGTCAAGTTAATCTAAGTTAAGTTAGACAAGTCTCTTTTTCCTAGGTTGCACCTATTTCAGAATTCCTATTAACTCTTTTCTCTCTTTTACAGGTAAGAGAATACCTTCAATTACACAATCGAATCAAAGTGGACCACAATCATTTCAAATCACATTCAAATATATGAACTCAACAGTATGACACCTTAAATTCAAGTTCAAGTCCAAATGTGAGTTCAATTATTCAGTTCAATGAAAAGTTTCAGTTCGATTCAGTCCAAAACTAATTATCCAATCAGCTCTCAGTTCAGTTCAAAACCAATTCCTGATACTCCTACCTCTCTGGCAGCGAGCAAAAAACCTGACCTGTGTAACAGGTCATAAGCACAATAAATCTCTTTTTAAATCCTCAAATTGCACAAATAAATGTTTCACAGTCTCTGAGTTGTAACGTTACTGCTACTGTGCTTTTTCACCTCAAAAATGGCGGTGGAGCGGTCTCTTTTAACTCATGGCTCCGTCTCCCACACAAACTACTGCACACATCTTTCATTTACACAGCACACATTCACTTTTATAACATTCACAGTCTTCATAAACCCAAAATATTAACTGGTCAACAGTGTATGACGAAGCATTTCCTTGTAAACAGCTACCTTTTTTAGCGTTAGCTCTCTGCCAGAGAAAAAAAAGGTACAACACGGCAAAAAATGAGAGAAAACAACACAAAACTCACCAAAACCGGTGTGGCTTAGTTCTCATAAAATCCCCGTCAGTTCCCGGCCAGGTAAGTTATGTTTTTCAACTGCAAAACCAACTTTTTCACTCTTTTCTCTGCTTATTAACCATCACTCTTTCTCTCTGTTTTCTCCTCTGCTCTCTCCCTCAGGTCTCTGCTGCAGCGTCACTAGTCCCTTAAAGGGACAGCCACATGAATTTTCTGTCAACATACTTTTAATCTTAAAGATTAAATAACATAACATTTTTAATTAACTCTGATGAATTAACTTACATTAAATGAATCACTTTTAACTTTCAAACTTATTTATGCAGCTTTTAAACTATTTATTCTTATTTATGTCATTATAACCTGGGTTACACAACCTCTAATTTAGCACAACCTTCAGACAAAGTGTAAGATTTGTACAGACATTATCTAGGCAGCTGAAACGTACTGTATATGGACTCCCAGGGGGACAGACCCTTTCAATTTGATCATGTGTAGTGTTACATAGCCAGGGGGTTGATCCTAAACATTCAACAAAACTGTAAACAGAAGTTGGAAATGAGCTGCCCTAATGTGTGGAACCTAATCAGAATTGGACTTTGCTTTCACAAGTGTGAATTATTGATCAAACAATTAGAGGTGGAAAACACTGATGACCTGGAGTCCAGTTTTAATTAAACGGCAGAATCAGGTGTCGTACTTGCATTGGTCGAAGCAGAACTCTAAAGCCCTTCAGAAGGCCATAACATTATCCTGCCATTCTCAGTGCTTAACCTTGACATTTCCTGCGCTGGCAGCTCCTGCTGTGAATTCAGCAGGTGCATCTCAGCACAGCGGGAACTCTGACACTGAGCAGATATGACGTGTAAGAGCTCCATCATCCACTGTCTCCCAAAGATAACTTGATTATTAAAAGGTGATCATTAGATGTGAAAGAGTTGTGATATGGACAAGTAAAAAATAGAGAAAGATGTGCAATGCCACTTGTCTATCTAATTTTACTGTTCAATTTCTCCTTTTCTTCCTGTCCTTATCTCTGGAATACATATTATGTTGAGAGCCCTTTTGGGGACTGTGAGAATTCATTTGACCTACATGTCGCACCATTCCATTTTTCTTTGAGAAAATAGAAATTGGTGCACACTGTCTGATATACAGAGTTGGTCTCTTGGCTACATTTTCTTTGTTTTAGTGTTTGCAACAAGTATACCTTGTCTCATGGACATTGGCACCCAGTGAGGGAGTGGTTGTTTTCCACAGGGATATTTTACTAAAAGTCAACTACCACAGACTTCAGGTAATAAAGTAGTTAAAGTTAAATAAAGAGGACAAACCAGTCTAATTTCATCAGGTAAGAGGTAAACAGTTGAACTTTTGAACATAAAGGTCCAGTGTGTAACATTTAGGAGGATCTGTTGGCAGAAATGGAATATAATATTCATAGGTATGTTTTCATTAGTGTATAATCACCTGAATATAGGAATCATGTTTTTTTGTTACCTTAGAATGAGCTGTTTTTATCTACAAAGGAGGTGGAGTCCGCCATGTTGAACCACCATTTTTCTACAGTAGCCCAGAATGGATAAACCTAGCACTGCTCAAGATAGTTTTATGTTTTTGGCATGTTTCTTGGCCACCGTAGTTTCCACTACACACTTAAAAGAATGAGCTGAACTTAAACGGTTGAAATCTACAACCTTACCGCTAGATGCCACTAAATCCTGTAAATGTAAGCTTCATGAGAAAAGTCATGACAAAATCATAGTGTACTCCACTGATTTAGCATTGCAACACTGTCAGAGTCACGATGAACAGTTTAAAAGGAAGAATCAGTGCATCACTTCCATCCACCTGTATAACGTTTTTACACTTCATCCTCCAGGTGGAAAAGTCGCTGTCCCAAAAATGTGTAATGGTGACAGACTCGGCTTATAAATTGCAATGTACATGAAGTAAGTCACTCAGCTTAAGCGCTTCTGGAGAGGCTAAAAATAGTGGCAGACAAAAACATCAGATATGCATGGAGCAATGAGGACACTGTCATCTTCCTCAAATCAATACATGGAACAAACATGTCATATTTCCATCATTTGAGGTTTGACTGGAGCTCTTTTTAATACATCATCTCACATGTAGCCTGGACCTGCTAGCCGAGAAGAGGAGTGGGCTCTGATAGTCTGGTCTTCTTTCTAACTCCATAACAACACGTTTTTTCATATTCAAACTTGTAGTCTTCAGCCCCAACTGATGCTGACTCAAGTGACATCACTTGAGGATGTGTCTTAGACTTTGCACAGCTACCCCTGGAGCCACAAAAGGCTTTCTGCAAGTTTTTTCTCATATGCAGTAGTTCTCCCCTGCACTTGGAAACACACACACACACACACACACACACTAAATAGGTAGAATTTATTATGTGTTTTCGAAACGAGTTGAGCAAAATCATGTTTTTTCATTAACATATGGTTGGTAAATGACATCATATGCAACAATTGTAGGGAACATAACTTCAGTGACACAGCAGGGATCCTGGAAAAGAGACTGAATGAACAGTTATAGCAGTGGAGAGCTAGAGAAATATTAAGGAGGCCATTTACATTAGGGATGCTCGATATTGGCTTTTCTGTCGATATTCCGATATTGTCCAACTCTCAATTTCCGATACCGATATCACCCGATACCGATATATGCAGGCTTTTTACACCAAAACTGTTAGGTAACAACATAACATATCTCCTATTGTGGAATTAACACATTATGTCTAATGTTATTGTGATGCCCCACTGGATGCATACATAAATGCAACATGGCTTTCCAAATGTAAACACTGTCTGTGCAAAATAAGAGAACAACTTCAACTTTCATTGTATCAATACTGAAGAGCGCTAACGCTAATCGCTAGCTACGCGCTAAGCGCTAGCTTTGGTTAATGTGTTTAATTGTATTATGCACCTGAAGGAGTGCTAATGTAAAGTCTAAGCCAATTGTTAGTTTGGTTAAGGAACAGCTCATAGCAGGGTCAAATATTTAAGGTGCATTGCACTTATTTTGTGTTAATATTAAAATCATTCAGCTTTAAACTGTTTGCTTGTTAGACACGGTTAGCAACCAACCAGTCTAGCGTGTAGTTGTTGTTGTTATACATCATCTAGTGCACGCCGGTAAACGTCCCATGCTGCGTTCATGCAGGCTCGGAAATGCTGAAGCCTACAGAACAAACATCGGTTATAGAAACCCGATACCGATAACTCCCGATATTAAATTTTTTTGTGAGTATTGGGATGTCCGATAATATCGGAGGGCCGATATTATCGGACATCCCTAATTTACATTCATGTTGGCTATTCCTAAACAGAAAAAGGATTATACCTCCCTATACAGAATATGTCTACCTCTTATCACATGATAGGTCAATTTGCTCTAAAACTACTAAAGATTTACCTTCTGGGGTTATTATGTGTTGGGACTATCTGATAGAAAATGGCAATTTGTCCTAAGATGTTTATGTAACTTGGTGAACTATGAGTGTCCTTTGTGTCCCTGGAATGTCACACTGATGATTTACACTGCATAAACTGGGAATAGAGTAATGAGTAATAAGAATAATGAGTCATGGCTAACCAGTCTGTCCATAGGAGCGCATAAGTTAGAGTGCTTGTTGGTCTGATGCTACTAAAGGACTCTTTACAAGTTTGATGACTTTACACTCAACATGACAAAAAACAGTTACACTTGCAACTGGACTTGGACTTTAACACCAGTGACTCATGACTTCACATGAGCCATTTAAAATCTATTGTTTTTTGGGCTTTTTCCCTTTATTGGATAGGTTAGCTGAAGATAGACAGGAGGGTGGGTCGAGAGAGGGGATGACATGCAGCAAAGGGCCACAGGTCAGATTCAAACCCTGGCTGCTGCAGAAAGGGCTCAGCACTGATACATTGGGCGCCTGCTCTACCAGCTTGAGCCCTTTGACTTACTAAAGTACTTGATACCTTCCCCCAAACCCACAGATTAAAGAGTATAAAATGTAAAAAATGTGTCATTAATCCACCTATTTATTCCCTTATACAACTAACATTAACTCTGTTCTGTCTGTCTGGACAGACATGAATACTAAACACAATTTTGCATCTCTATGTGGTCTTGTGTCACTACAGTCATTACTATCACCTTTCATCATCAATTTAGTTTGCAGATTCAGGTCCAGGGAATCCTTGGACTGTCGTGCCACCCCTCTGCTCCGCCCCTGCTGAGCTGAGACATTCTTGTTCACAGGATCCATGGGTCCATGCATATTTCACATTTGTGTTTTCGCCTGTGTCTCCGAGTGCACACACAGCTTTTAAGCTTTTGCGAGTGGCTGCGAAGGAGGCGGCTGAGAGCTGCTGGTATGAGCAACGACTGACCAAACGCCTTTTTAATGATTGAAGCGGTGCCTTGCTGTGAGGGACAGAGCAGTAAACTAGCTCTCCTCCGGCTTTCTGCAAGGCTGAATTTAAAAAGGTACACATAAGAATGTTGTGGCTTGCAACTTGCTATTATCCAATTGAAGACATCCTTTTCAAGCTCAATAATAGATGTCAGCTAGCTGTCGGGGTATCAACAGATGTCACCAAGCTAACAGGGCGAAGGAATGTCTTTATAGGGGAAGGAAAGAACCATATTAAATGTTCACAGCAGCACATTACGTCCAATAAAAACAACCTGGAAGTGAACATATTTCAATTTATACATTTAACTTCTCCCATGCGCTTGAATGAGTTTTCTATCTCACATTCATTTCTACAGCTACGCTCTAGGCCATATCAGTTTACCTCATTTCTACACTATTTCATTTTCAAAGTGAGCCATCCAGTGTCTGCACACACACACACACACACACACACACACACACACACACACAGAGTTCAGCTCTCCTCTGCAGAGTCCACCAAACAGAAACAGCCTTTAGCACCTTAATGTATGTTCCTCTCACATTTGGAATTTCACAGCTTACGTCTTCCCAACAACCAACTGCCAGGCCTGTCCTTTTAACAAAGCCAGGCTTTCTAAGGAACACATGTTTGCAGCCAAGTGGCTACAGTCCAGTAAATAAAACATGGGTCTTTATACCGGAGAGCCTCCTGTCTCAGGCCAGTG